GGATGATGGAGAGTGGCTTGGCAACCACATCCATCAACTCCCTCAGCACTCCATGGTACAATCCATCTGATCCCATGGACTTGTAAGTTTCCAGCTTTTGAAGCAGGTCCAAAACAATCTTATCATGGATTATGCAGGGTCTATTCTGTTCCCCATCCCTATCTTCCAATGCAAGGGGCTGTGTGCCCAGGGAACTACTAGTCTTACTATTAAAAACTAAGGCAAAGGAGGCATTAAGTACCTCAGCCTTATCCTGATCCTTGGTCACTGTGTTCCTCTCTGTATCCAACAACGGATGGAGATTCTCCCTAGCCCTCCTCTTACTGTTGATGTACTTATTGAAATATTTATTGTTATTTTTCACCTTAGTGGCCAAGTTCAGTTCTAGCTGGGCTTTGGCCTTTCTGATTTTCTCCCTGCACATCTTCACTACATATTTGTAAACCTCTTGCCCCCTCTTCCAAAGACCATAAACCTCCCTTTTGTTCCTAAGTTCCAGCCAAAGGTCTCTGTTCAGCCAGACTGGCCTCCTCCTCTGTTGGCTCATCTTCTGTGGCTTGGGGATGATTAGCTCCTGCACCTTTAAAATTACTTCCCTAAAGTATTCCCAGCCTTCCTGGGTTCCCATGCCCTCCACAACTATCTTCCAAAGGACTCTCTCAACCATGGTGCAAAAGAGACCAAAGTCTGCCCTCTGGAAGTCCAAGGTGGCTATTCTGCTGACTCCCCTCTGTGCTTCAACAAGCATTGAAAAATCTTTCAATATCACTTTGTTCCAGATGGCCTCCAACCTTTACATCCGCCACAAGACCTTCTCTGCTAACAAACAGCAGGTCCAGGATTTTACTTCCCCTTATTGTCTCCCTTACCATCTGAGCCAGGAAGTTATCTTTCACACACTCGAGGAACTCCTGGGACTGTTCTTTCTTAGTGTAAATGCATCTGAACTGGGCTACTTTTTAAGTGAGAGAAGCCCTTATACCCTTATGACCACACTTAGGTGTTTCTGTAGTAGTCTCACGCCAATCTTTGCAGTCTTCATGCAAAAAGGTGTGTTATCCTACTCCTTCACCAAGATACAAGACTGGGATCTTACTAGCACATCCCTCTCCCACAAGCACTGGCATATTACATACAGGCTTCTTTCTTGTGACCCTGTTTTCACCCCCACTTCCCTTCATACACTCTATCCCACTGCCACGGCTTTTCACAAAATGATCCTCAGCACTGAAGCTGTTCTCTGTGGGGATAAATGCTATCTCATCTCCTGGCCTTCAGTATAATTCAGAATGTATTAACTTTCTGTTAAAAATCTGAAAACAAAACAAAGACTGTACATGCTTATTTCTGTTTGCTTTTTTTTTTTTTTCAGTAGACAACTTGATAATTTCTCATGCCTTTATTAAAAACATGATCTGAATCACAAAACCCTACTTAAATATTTTGAAAACAGTGTTTAATTTGAGTAAATTAAGTCAAACACTTTTTTTTTTTTTCATTTTGTTTCTGCTATAGCCTTTCTAAATTACAGTAATCTTAAATGACACTTTAAGTTTCATTTCAGTTCCCTTGGATATTAAATGAGCTATTAGGTAGTGTAGGATTAAAGCAACATCAAAGCCCTGATAGATTTTCAGCATTATGCAAAGCCTCTCATTTTCCTTTTGACTTACAGTGCCATGAAGATTATAGGTTGCATTGAGCAATTATACCAGTACTCCTGCTTATGGATAAGGCTCTGTCAGCATTTCCATTATAATCCTCCTAGTTTCAAAGGGCTTTATTACTTGTCCATAAAAATTTGTTCTGGGATGGAACTTGGTACTGAGCTCTTATCCCCAAGTAAAAAGAACCATTTAAACATTTGATTACTGCTCCCTGGCTTCTAGGTAGTAGGTGTGTTTTAAAGCACTCAGGGATGGTACCTGAAAATTCTGTACCAGTTTTACAATTCAAAACCAGCTCTATTTTCTACAGTGAATGCTGACATGTTGTTACTAGACTGCTTAGTGGATTTGTTCTTTTTCTTTCCCGATGTGGAGAAGGGGCAGAGGGTCACAAATATGAAGCACTCAAATTTCAGAGTAAACTTCATCAATGACTTCTGGCACCAGGGTTACTCCATTCAATTCTCTGAGATAGTAGAGTTGTGAGATTATAAAAAGGAATGTGTGCAAGGTGTGAGGTGAGGATAAAAACAAGGTGAGTATAAAAGCCATCCAGTGTGGGGAAGGCTCACTGCTTTTGAAGAAGCTGCAGCCAAAGTCTTGCACACTGTGCTCATTAGTGAGAAAGCAGTTGCAGAGGACAATGAAGAGATAAGGGATTCTTTTCTTTGTGAGGAATGCTCTTTGGGTGTTTGTATTAGTAATACATATCCTAAAAGTAGGATGAATTGTAGAAATATTGGCTAGATAGAGGGTGTTGTATTTACTCTCTAGCAGATAGAAGATTATATTGGTAGAAGAGTAAGCTAAGGTTTTAAGCAGGGTATCCTGTTACAAGAGGTTATAAACTGTCCTTTCAGAGCTAATTCTCCAAAAGGCTACCAGCAGCCTGAGACAGCAGGTTGCCAACAGGGAAGAGCCCTGCAAATGTAAAGCATCAGTCAAAGGCACAGTGAGCTAGGTTTGTCACAGCTGTCCTCTCTGAAGGCTTTCAGACATATCATTGGGCTGTCTAGTTTGATTTTCCCTCCTTATTTCTGGTACTGTACTGCCTGTCCTAAGGGAGATAAATCTAGGCCTTAAAATTCAAAGCCCATTCAAAACTATATCTCTATTTTGGCATATTTTGTAATGGATTTGAATGTTCCTCATCATCCTTGAAATTTCAGGGCTCTCTTGCAAATCTTGCTTGTAGGATGTGAATCAGTTGGATGCAAACCTTACACAATTCAAGAAGGCGAAGTATGATTTCCCGTACTCTTTTGGGGCAATCTCAATTACAAACACAGGATGGCAGAGAATGAATGGAGAACAGCTCTGATGAGAGCTTTGAAATGCTGGTTGAAGAAAAACTCAAGATGTGCAATTAATGAGCACTTGCAGCCCAAAAAGCAAACTGTATCCCAGACTGCACCAAATGACTGGACATGACTAGCAGATCAAGGGAGAAGACTGCCCCCCTCTACTCCCCTCTTGTGAGGTTCCCCACATGCAGAACTGCATTCAGCTCAACATAGAATGTCATGGAACTGTTGGAGCAAGTCCAGAGGAGCACCACAAAGATGGGCTGGAGGATCCTCTGAAGACAGGATGAGAGTTGGAGTTGTTCAGCCTGGAGAGAAGAAGACTTCAGGGAGATTTTACAGTGGCCTTCCGCTATCTAAAAATGGGCCTACGGGAAAGCCAGGAGGGACTCCATATTAGGGAAGGTGTAACAGCTTTAAATTAATAACCAGAAGATTTAGATTAGATATTAAGAAGCATTTTTACCTTAGAGGATGGTGAGGCACAAGAACAGGTTACCCAGATAAGTTGTGGATGATCCCAGGAGGTGTTCAAGGCCAGGTTGGATGGGATCCAAGGAGCCTGATCTAGTGAGAGATACTCCTACCATCAGCAGAGGGCTGGAACTGGGTGATCTTTAAGGTCCTTTCCAACACAACACATTCTTTAATTCTGTGAAATACTTACAAAGGTATAAGAATGTGGCTGCAGCTTTCAGCCTAGAGTTTTCTTATCTAAGTACAGAATGGCCCTGAAAACAACATGATGTATGGTTTGAATTTAACTGAAATGCAAATTTCACTGAAAAGTGACTGCAGACCATGCCTGGAGCAAGTGCATCTGACTGAGCTAATGCCAGCACGGATACGTGTTAAAGGTTTCATGTGTAATGTAGAAAGGTGAGAGTATAAGTTGAAAACAGTACAACTTGTAATCAGTGTCAGGCCTTCTGCCCAATTCCTTCAATCTCTTTCTGTTAAAGACATTATATTCTGCTTTTCCAGATTTAACAATCTCCGAGTTCTCTTAATGAATCTGGTATCCCAGCAGCACCTGATTCTTCATTTTCCACAAAATTCTGTGGGAATCCAGTCTCACAAGTAGCATGATTCTTTTAACATCTGGTATGTTCTGCCACTGTAATAGCAACTTCATGGATTGAGTTCAGGCTGTTTCTATTTATAAGAGTTTTTATTAGAGGAAACAATCTGTTGATTTCAGCTTCATATGAAGGGCTGGTTACTGAGAAAGTGGACCTCATTATCCAACGTGTGGATCCATTGACATTTACTAGGCAATAGACAAAGGGAACACAGCTTTCCCCTGACTTGGCTCATCCTTCGACTCACCTCCATGTTTTCTGGCCTGTTTACATGGTGATCTCTGTATGTCAGGGATTATTTCTCATGTTGCTTGTGTATCAATGTGTACTTCCAGAATTCAATAAATAATTTATTTGTACTAAACACTACTGGCCTTTACTGAGGCAATCCTTGTTAGTTTCTTTTCCTCTGGTTCCTTACTGCAGGAAAGACACCGAGGCCCTGGAGAGTGTCCAGAGAAGGGCAGCTAAGATGGTGAGAAGTCTGGAGCACAGGCTTTGTAAGGAGTGGCTGAAGGAAGTGGGATTGTTCCGTTTGGAGAAGAGGAAGCTCAGGAGAGACCTTATCACTGTCTATAACAACCTGAAGGGAGGTTGTAGTGAGCTGGAGTTGGCCTCATCTCTCATGTAACTAGTGATAGAACTAGAGGGAATGGCTTCAAGTTGTGCCAGGGGAGGTTCGGGCCGGATTAGGAAATACTGCTGTTCTGAAAGAGTGGTCAGGCACTGGAATGGGCTGCCCAGGGAGGTGTTGGGGTCACCGACCCTTGAGGTGTTCAAGGAACATTCAGGTGTTCTGTTGAGGGACGTGGCTTAGTGAGAACTATTTGTGACAGATGCATGGTTGGACTGAATGATCTTGTAGGCCTTTTCTAACCTTGGTGATTCTATGATTTTATGCTACAGTAAACACAAAATACAGTATATAAACTTGTTATTATTGTATGGTGGGTTTATTCCAGTGCTGAAAATTTTAAATGCTTCACAACTGACCAACAGATCAATCTCCTTTTCAGTGAATGTTACCAAAAGCCTAAGCAGGCATAACTGAATGGAGAAGTAGCTGCATAAGAGATAATGTGTGATGCCATTGTCATGCCATTCATGGTTTGCTGGATGCTTTTGCCCTGGGGTGCAGAAATTCTTCTGTGACAGGGCTGGATAGCTTCCCGCAGGCACAGTGGAACCATGTCTCTGATTTGATGCCACCATCTTACCAAAAAGTCATCCTGACTTTTCCCTGACCAGCACCACTTGTTCAGAGCCTGATCAAAAATATTTCCTTCTTAATTAGAGAGCTCCAGAGAGGAGCTTCAGGAAGGACTACTGAGTCAAGAACTGTATTTGAGCTGTATCAGTTTGGGCTAAACTGCTAGGAGGTCTATTAAGTTACTGACAATCATTCTTCACAGTTCTCACTTATCTGTATACTTGAAAGGACATTAATACAGCTAAAATGGGCTGTCGCTTTTGTGCTAGCATGCAGAATATTTCTGATAAATAGTATTTAAGACTTGGATTCAGATTATTAAGAGTTTGTTCCAAAGGATGATAAAACGTTTGATTACTGTAAGAATTTAAAAGCTTTTTCCAACAGTAAGGTACCATACATTTATAATGAGAAAGTGGCATGCAAGTTCTTGCTAGTCAGTGTCAGGATGAAGCAAAGGAAGAGTTAAATAATGAAAGCTAAGATGATAAGCAAGTATCTACCACATTTTAATTACAAATCTATTAAAAGCAGATGGACGTAACTCAAAATTTCTAGCTGTTATATTCAAAAACAAGGCGAAAATATGGATAGAATAAAATCAAGACAAATGAAGTGTTTCTTAAGTATCTGTGTTATGAATATTTGAAATATTATGTTTAACATGATTAATTAAATATTGCACTCCTTTGAAACTGCATACCAGTGAAGAACTGTCTGAAGAGTATCTAAGCATCTTCTGTAACCATAATGGTTTCACTAATCTCAGATGATCTTATCAGTTTTTATCTGATGACTTTTCTAGTGCTGTTGTCAGGTTTCTGTATAACTTTTTATATCATTTTTGTAGCATTACGACTCATTTCTTAGTCTTTCTGAAATTGTAGTTTCATTTATTTTTTTTTAAATCCTTTTAATTTATTTAATGACAATCTGAGTAAGTTGCAATTTTATTTTTTGAGTTTTCAAATCTCTGGAGCCATTCTAATCATATAGTCTACTCCAGTTCCTGATGTAATTTGTTTCTTCACATTTAGACTTGAATTTTAATGTTATTGCACTTCTTTATTTTGCTGATTAATTCTAGATTGTATTTATTTCTCTGGTCATGTATTCTTTTGTTGACAGTAATTTATAGACCTCTTACATAGATAATCACTGCAAAAGTGATCAAGGTTTTATTGAAATGTGTTACTAGCACCTAGATAAATAAAGATTACATGGCCCTGTGTTCTGAATCTAGTACTGTGGAACCTGAAATAATTCATCTAACCATTAAAGATGAAATTGCAGAGCTCAGAACAAAAGTGATTTAATTTTGGAAATGTCTTCTTAGAACCCCTCCTGACCTCCAGCTGGAAAAGAAACATTCTGTACAAAACGAGTTCCTTGTTATCAATTTAAGATATGATTTTGTTATATTCTGTCTTGATAGAGACTTATTCCTTATGCATCCTCATATGACATAACCATACAAAATGTACAATGAAGGAAAACTGGGCAGGGAGTGGGGCACATCATACTTTAAAATAATTTTTTCCTGGCATTTGTTTTCCTGGCTGCTGATAGATTTTCTTCATTTTGACTTAGTAGATGAGAAGAAGGATCATGTGAGATGAAAAGGAAAGCTTATTACAAGAGTGATTTCTTCATTTTTGCATCCCATTGTCATACTCTCCCGCAAAACAATTTCATTCTCTTTCTATACAAGCAGTGAGTGTGGGATCTTCAACTAGATGCGTCTTCAGGTTGGGTCCTCAACATCTTTATTCGTTTTTCGAGCCTCTCCATCCATTCATTTCTGAGCCTAAGGACAGAAACACTGGTTAGCTTGTCCCTGGATTTTTACTGGGAACAGATTTTTTTTTTCTCCAGCACTTTCACCAATCATTATGCAAACTCATCTGCCCATTTAGGGTGTGTTGCTGGATAGAAGCTCAGGATTAGATCTCAGATCTCAGTCCCACCTCATTTGATCATTGTGGTTTATTTTCGTCTTTTTTTCATGCTCTCTCAAGTGTCTCTTTGTGCCAAAGTGACTTGTCACCTCCACTGGAGATTGCTTGCTGCCACCTGCTGGCTAGCAACACCCAATGTATCCCTAGTCCCCTTCTCAGAAATTACTTTAGAAAAAGTTGTAGAGAGGCTTTTGCACACCATTTAGTTTGGAGGAACTATGAGTGTTGAAATTCCTTTTAGGTCCATAACAGACATACTAACTCTCTGTCAGGTGATAAATGGAAGCTTGTTTTTTCTTTGGTAGAGTCTAGATTCTACTGAAAGACTGCCTCAGAAAGAAAACAGAAATTTCACAGCTGAGGATCTGAGAGGTTGAAATTAGGTTATTTAAAAATGGGTAAAATGTGCTGGAGATTGATTCCAGTGTTGCTTCATGCAAGGTTATTAATGCAGTGTCGTCCTTATTCTTACTTGCTTAAACATTAACTCAAAGGAATGTAGGAAGGAAATTTGGAACAAATGCTTTCTTTTTGGACATTTCCAAGCTATCTGTGTATGTGCTTCAACTCCTGGAGACTTTGTGTGAAGTAAAACAGTATTGATGGTGCAGCAAACTACTTTTTCATTATTCAGCTGAGTAAGGTAAATGTGACTTACTGAGGTAAAAATAGCTACAGATGGTTGCTTTAATCAGTTAGAATATTTAGACCATCTGCTTTATTATGGACTTATTTTGTTCAGATTAAATCACATGAATTAATTGAACCTGTATTCTTGTGAAAACAAAGCCATAGAAAAAGAGGGTGAACCAAGTACAGGTAAGTGTTAGCTCTGATGTGAACCTTGATATTCAAGACAAGTCTGTACTGCTAGAGTTTGTCCTAATAACTTCCGGAATTTCCACACTTTGGACCCAATCTTTGAACAAGTGAATTATTCTCTCATCCTGTGAAGCGATAGCTAATACTAATTAGTATTAGCATGCCAATTTGTGAAGCTTTATTATCTTCTAAAAATATAGGAAAATAAACATTACTTTCAACTTTCACTGTGTGACATAAATATAGACATAACTTTTCTTTTAAAAAGAATAACAGTGCAAATTCAAATAACCTTTCAAAATACAAACTACTAACTTTGTCAGAGCACTTTTTTGCTGACGTTCTTTTTCAACTTGCAGGTACCGAGTTTGTTGTTCAATTGTCTTTTCCCAGAAGTTTCTCAGGTTGCTAGTTTCACATCCTCGCACTTCATGACGTATATATTGACTATTCATTTTCTGTAAAGGATGAATTTGAAATGGTTATATTACAAGTTATTTGTCCCTCATCTTTTTTCACAGCAGAAACACAATGCTGCTGTTGTGGATTTTCACAGCATTAGGTGCACACAGTTTTTTTTAATGTAGGATCAGGATATCAGTAGGCAGCTTAAACTTCTATTTTCTACCTCTGACACTTGACAATGTGCTGTTTGCAGTGATCTGAATTCCTGCTTGTTAATTTCAGATATTTCTCACCTCCATCTGTCTGCGATTTTTAAGATTAACATGTATGACTTTTCTCTAGTATTCTCTACTTTAATAATTAGTATACAGTTTATGATTCTCAAAAATGACAGGAAGTAGAAAAATTGCCAGATCTAGTGGGAATTTCTCAGTGTTTTCATTTCTACAAAAAGTTCAAATGATCACAGTAGATCAAGACTCAAGCAACAAAAAAAACCTGACTCTGGTGTTTTGCTGTTAATGATTTTAATTTTTGTCTTAATTTTGGGGAATGGAAAAAATGTGCATGCAGTAAGATGTTAACTTGCAAAACCCATCATATTTATTAAATACTTCTCTCTGTTTTGTAATTTTCAAAACAGAGCAATTTCATTCAATATGTTTATACATCTGTCTTGATTCTGTACTTCTCCCTTCATTTAATGTCATCTTAGAGATAAATTTGGGAGTAAATCTTAAACGATTATAAAATATTATAAAGTCTCAGGATGACTCTTCATGGGGTGGTGGTAAAGCTTTCATATCTCCCATTACAACAAGAAAATCATATAGTTAATTTCAAAACTTCATTGAATATAGAATGAGTTTATAGATGCTGCCTTCCAAATTGCCAGGTGATTTTGCATAAACATGCCATTATAATATTTTCCAGAATATATATACATTTTAACAAATATTTAGGGCTCTCTCACGTGTTGTTTTAATTTGTGGCAATTATTTGCAATTTATTTTTATCAGAGGAATAAAGAATTAGTAAACAAGCCCCTCAGTGCTCGCTTGGTAAAGCTTGAAGGAACTACTGCCATTCCCTTGCTGGGCATGGTAAGAAAAGCAGAACTGGGAGGCAGTAATCTTTATGTAACTCATTTTGGAGATTTGGCTGTTTTAAGAGAAACTCTAAGAGAAATTAAAAATGACTGTTGGTAACAATAGCAGCTTTTTTGAAGAGTTTTCTTATTTTTAAGTATTCCCTGTGAATCTGCTGTGTGTACACCATATATGTGAGTACATGGTCTTTGAATAATACAGGGCATGTTTCTGAGCCTGAGTTTGTAGAATTTTACTGAAAATTATTTTCAGATTACAGCTGTATGTGTAAGTATTGAGTAGATTATAGTTGGTTGAATAAGTATTAGCTACAGCATATAACTGCAATTACAATTCAACACCTCTAACTGTAGGAGGTAACAAATTCTAGGTCAAAAGTCTGTTTAATATAAGTATATGTGTTCATAAATAATATGTATTCCATCAATCTCTCTTCTCGGATATAGTTACTGCCCTCTTTAACCTCTTTTGTATCCAAGAGTACTCTAGACACTTGTGAAGAAGATTCAGTAACAGCCACCTGATCAGACTGATGGATTTTCTGCTATGGGATTTAATCTCAGAATAACAATAGTGATGAAGTATATAAACAAAATTCTCAAACATCCTTCAGGCACCAAAATAAACAGTGACAGGAAATAGTCTCTCCTTGTTTCTTTGATTAGAGATTATCTTAAAAAAAAAAAAAAAAAACAGAACATTTTCACCTTTCTGAATACAAATTCCCATTTTACTATGGATGTGCTTTTTGTTCTATATTTATGAGAGTGAATATCTCTTCTGACTGAGATGAAGGTCAGAATCTGTGGAACTCACTGCCACCATGTATGAACTGAAACCACACACTTTCGGAACACACATCCTTTACCAATTTCAGATGTTCTGCCTTCTGTCAGACTGCATATATTTTTGGTGCTGTTTTGAATGTATTTTTATATGTATCTTTCTGTCACTTCCTTAATAAAAAATAAAATAAAATAAAATAAAATAAAAGATAAATAAATCCCAAGGCAAAAGTTTTAAACACCATAAAAGAGAACTTCAGAAATAGTTTTCATTGTTATTCACCTTTCATCATTTAGTACAGCAATACCTGTTGATACTGCAAAGTGTAGATTGTAGTATATATCGTACTATATGCTACATCATTTATTATTATTTTTGGTGGGTGTGGGAAATTAGTATTTTTCTCTCTGTAACGTCAGTTATTTTTTTATGTTTGCTGGTTGAGGCATACTAAGAGCACTGTCTGAACCTGTACTTATCCAACATTTTATTCTGCATCAACAATCAATGTTGTATCAATGTGAATACCTTGAATAATTGAATATTCTTTTATTCAGTCCTTGATCTTCCCTTTTTTTTTTTTTTTTTCCCCTCCTAACAGTGTACAACATTCACAACACTCTCTCTACATGACAACACTGAATCCTTGATTAACATTAGTGTAACAATAGTGTGCAACTATTTACACCACACAGCTGTAGAACTATTCTATCTTAATCTACCCTTTACTTCAAACCTGTTATTTAAGCCCATTAATTCAGTGACTGTAGAAACTTCTCAACAAATCTTCTAAAGTACCCTTGCCTGGTTTCCTTTGCCTTTGTGCAAGACATTTGAGTTCAATATGTCCTGCCATTTATTTCAACACTGTTGCCATAAGACTTCAAGGTTATGTGGGAAATTAGCAGTATCAAATCTAGTCTGTCAGTATTTCACTTGGCAGAGGATACAGTTTCTTTGTTAATGTCTTCTGCCAGTGATCAAAATCCTATTTTCTTCTCCTACTCAGTTTCTTTTTAGTTCCAGGAGAAATTAAGAGAATTTAAACGTGCATTGTAGATTTGCATCAGCAGTTATCAAGTGGGTAATATTTATTTTCATTTCAAAGTGGGAAGTAAAAGGAGCTTTGTTTAGCAGAGAAAGAATGGTTTGAGGAAGATATCATGGAAGGAGCCTCCAAAGAATGCTGTGTATACCAGGTAGGAAAAAATGTCATGCTCAGGTATATAAGAAGTTGTAATAACTCTTATATAGATCTATATACACCTAACTTTAACTTGCCTGCAACAGCTAAGACTAAATAAAATTTTATTTAAGCCTCTCATGATGATTCTTCTATAGGACAATAATGAGTCTCTTTCTGGTAATCATCTTTGACAGAGCCCTGGTTGTTAGCTGTCAAACCAGTGTAGCTGCTCTCATATTAAAGGAATATCTAGATAAACGCTAAGAAAGCTTTAGCCAACACAGGATGAACATGATCATTTCTTTTATGTTTAATCATTTAAGAGAAGTATTTAGACCAAATTTGCAAAAGGAGATCTTATAAAGGCAGTGAAGCTGTGATGCTAGTACTGTTGTCTGAAACAGAAAAATTGTGCTGCTAGAACAAAAGAAGGGCATGTCAGATCAATTCAGTGTGACATGCTGCCTCTTTTGTAAGTGCAAAAATCAATAGTTTGATGTTGGTACTTGCTAGTTCTATGAGAAGCCATTAGCATCAAATGAATTACACTGTTATATAAAGAGAATTGCAAGTTGAAATTTGCTTATCTAGAAAATGGTACATAAAGTGCTTTTCCCCATTGTAGTAGAACAGATTTTTTTTTTTTTTTATTATTTTTTTTAAATTTTACATAACATCTGCATAAGTCAGGAAAGCTGTTTAAATTCCTCTCTTGTTTTTCATGTAACACAATCAGTCAGGGATTTGAGGATGCTATGCATCTTTGTAGAAATAATCCAATATTTTATTCGTCTGTTTTTGCGTGGACGTTTCTCCATGCAACGATGGTGATGATGTTCTTTCCATGATAATACTAATGTCTAATTTTAAAACAGTAAGAAAGCTTTAAGTTTAGAAAATGGGACTTGAAATTGCAACTATGATTTCCTTCCTCTGTCATGGATCTTGGATATGTTATCTGTCTTCTGAAGCTGGAAGTAATTAATGTCTCAAAGGGTTAACTGAGATTTTCTTTGAGATCCTGCCTGGTGAAACACACCAGTTTCAAATTTATCTTAGGTCTTCAGAGCATGGATAAAACTCTTTAAGTGTAGAAGAAAGTACTTTGCCTTAATCCTTTGCAACCTATTTATGTAGCAAGTTACATAAATACAATCTGCGAGATGAAGGGTGTGCAGGAAAGACGTATTATTCTGGAAGGGCAGGGATTGCCTACTTGTACAACTGGGGATATAATGCCCCAATAGAAGCTGCAGTATCTGATGAGGTTTCTGGTGCACAAATTGCGCTGTTCTCTTTCAAAAATACAGCGATATATGATGTAAAAAATGTGTGGCTTGCATGTGTGCAATATTCTATGTATTGTACTTCTACACTATAGGCTGTGAATCTATGCTTTCATTTTCTAAAGACTGATATCTAAAATTTGCAATTAAATAAGGGAATTCTAGACACATTATTTATTCTACTGTCAATCTTTCCTAGTTTGGCAGAATTTGAAGCATACTGTCTTACCGCAACATGTTCTCAGGAGATCATTGACTGTGTAAAACCTTCAATCAAATTTATTGGAATTTTGCATAAGATAAGAATTTTCCCTGTGTAAAAATGATAACCATGTGACTGAGTAGTACCAATAGTAGTTACCTGAATGCATGATATTTATCTAGCAAAACAATTCTGGAATATGCAAGTTAAAATGTTTGAAAGCAAAGATCATGCAGCAGTCTCATGCTCAGGCATTCTCCTTGTTCCTGGTTACTGGAGTTCATTACTGCTTTTCTGTAGAAACTTGATGAGTATTGTTTACCAGTTTCAGAGAACTGCTTTCTTAAAATGCATTGAACTATTACCAAATGTGAGCCTTTTCTCATAAAAAGTCTTTACAAAAAGAAAAAAATAGAAACATGAAAAAGATACAATTCATAGTGGCTGTAGATTCTTTTCATATCATACTGCTATAATGGTGGTATCAGTGCCTTTGAACAACACACATTGAAAGTATTTTCATTTGTCCTTCATCTGTTGGATCTCAGTTCTCTTTGCCTGTTCTCACTTTTTCCTGGATATACACATTACTGAACTGGAGGGAACTGATTTTGTGCCTTGGTTTTCTGTACGTGAGAGCTCAGCAGTCCTCCAGCTGAAGGTTAATATTCTTGCAACCTTTTGAGCAAAACACTTCAATTATCAGCAGTTTTATTTCCCTCCAGGTCACCCATTCAGTTATTACTATCTTTTTTTTTTTTTTTTTTTTTTTTTTTTTTTTTTCTGTTTTCTGCTGTTGTGCTTTTATATAGCTTCATTAGATTCATTTTATTTTCTTTTAGATTCACTTCTTTAGCTGCTCTCCTGCATGCTGCTGTTTTCGTTAACTTCTCCTTCAGCCCATAGCTGAGTGCTTCCCTCAGAGGCACCTTTGCTTTTTCATTCTCTGCCTTCAGATCTGTTGAGCTTCCTCCTCCTGACCTGCTTACTTACCATGGTAGCCCTCTTGTTATCAAATCCCAGTCTAACCCAGCTGTTTCAAATCCCTGTTTTTGAACATCTTTCAAGCTGATTTAATCAACTCTGTTGTTCTCTCTGGAAAACTTCTATCCACTATCCACTTCTTTCTGGAGCTGCATTTCTCTGTGATTACTAATGCTGATCTCACCAAACTTTCCCTGGAGCATCTTTGTAGCACATCTCTGCTCCTCATCTTCCCATGCTCTCTTTTATTGACTCTCTGTGCTGCCTGTCCGGGTTTCTACACGTCCTGCACCATGATACAAACAGCTGTGGTAACAGTTGCATAAATGCAAGTGTTGAGTGAGACGACATTCACGAGCATCATGCAGTACAGAATATCCTAATGCCTTTCATGAACTTTCCATAGATTTGTCTAATTCTGAATGGGTTTTAGATTCAATAATTAAGGCATATTTAAAGCAGTAGTAATTTGCTTGCATGATCAAATATTGTTTCTGAAGATAAGATTTTCCCCTCTGCTAGATATATTTGAAACTTAATGTCATGAATTTCTGAGCTTGTAGGATCAAGTATATAGCATTAGGTATACAGCATATTTATTAGAAGCAGAGATCCTGGAAATGTTTTCTTCTTTCTTTGATTTTCGAGTACAGGAGGACTTGATGATCTCAGATCAAAGAACTGGGTAAATCTTGCCTCGGGCTCATGTTCTTTGTTAGATCATTCAGTTGTGACAAATCATGCAAGAAAAACATGTCCAGATTTGTCTGAAAGTGTCTACTGTTAAATTAAAAAGCCTCTCTGTAACAGATCACCTTTGCAAGAGAAGTGTGTATGTATCCTTGGCTATTGTTTAAGTTGACAAAATACATATCTTCATATATAATACACATCTGTTTTACCCAGGGCTGTGGCAAGGAAATTGCAATTTATTATTTTTTTCTGTATCAGTGGTACTCAGCAGCTTGCTTAGGATGCTGTTAAACTGGGCAATCTTCCAGGACATTTTCCTCATACTGTCATCTTCCCTAAGATATACTTCTGTGAAAATTAAAGTTAGAGAAAAAATGCATTTCTTTACACTATTATGAAAATCTTACCATATAAAAAGTATTTACTTACCTCAGGAGTCAAGCTCTTCCTGCAAGTAAATCCTCTTTATGACACAAACAAATGAAAAATATTGCCACAGCAGCCCTGGCTTCTCCAGTGTCACAGGACAGTAATGAAATGCATCCCTCGGTACTCTTATTTGAAGTGGAGGTAACATAAATCCTTCATCATATCAAGGTTATTTTGAACAGAAGCAGTAGTGAGATAAGATCATTTAATGAACTTTGCAGCCCCCTGCCTGAGATGACCATGAAACACAGGCCCCCTTGAAAGCATGCATCCCTCCCACACTTACAGATACCTCAGAGAGCATGACTTGGCAAGTGCTGAGAATTATTCTTTAAAATGCATGCTATCATTATCCGTTTTAATACTCCTCCTATGAAGCTTGAAAAATTCCACGCTTACTATCTTAGCTGCAATGGAGATTGAAGTGAGGTGACAAATCACACTTGGTTTTGCATTACAGGGTGACTTATAGAAGTGCTCAGTACTTTGGAGCTGTTAATCTAAGGATGTGTGCTTGATTATGACCTATCATGCAATCTGTTCTCTTTGAGGTAATAGTCATAGGAATGGTCTGTTTGGTTAACATTAGCTCACAAAATGCATTAAACCAGCACTAGTTTTATCATTTGAAGCTGTTAGAACTCTATTAGACATGAGCACTTACATAATTACATTTCATTTTCTGAGGAAAATATTTTGTAGATTTGGTTGATGACAGATGTATGAGCTGATCTCAGTTTTCATTAAATTCATCTGCATTGGTAATATACCATATGTGACTGCTGGCTTTAGTAGTGTTTATATCATGGCTGACTATTTTAACCTTCCTGTGTTGTCATTTTTCAGACACCAAGTAGCAAAAACAGAAGCTATGAGATGGATGCTTTGTGTAGTTCATATTCATTTAATTAATTTTATTCTGCAGTCTGCTTTACAGCAGAAAATACTGAACAAAACCTGACAGCTGCAGATTTTGCTGTAAAGGAGAATTCCATCTCATACTAAGCATTGGTCAGTTTGTATAACTTGTCAAAAATATTAAAGAATGAACTTTTTTCAACACATTATATCACTTCACATCATGTGAAACCACAGAAATTAGCCCTCTTGTCGGAATATATTATAATAACAGAGGTCCATGCTCTCAGTGATTACTGGGTTAATATTAAAATAATACACTATTGCAAAGACAGGTGTGTGCCCTGACTGAATACAACAGTGATGCTAATAACCACGGTGCAGCAGAGCCCATAATTTCTTCCTTGCCATGTGACTCACAGCTTCAACAACTTCACAGTGCATTATAAATCAGAACTTTGTTTTGAATGTTATAATGTGGACAATTCCTAAACATTTACAAGCATCTGCATTCAGGAGGTGACTTCAGTGTTGAGTCTTCATCAGCTGTAATGATATTTCAGCATTTGTGGAGATAAGATGCTTTGTTTGACAAGTTGTGATAAACATCATACGCACTTAGGTCATCCGCAGCAGATTTGGTACATCTTACATGATACACACTGCTGATTCAATTTACAATGAACAATAAATAGATCTGTGCATTTACAGTGACACCTTATGCAAAATAAATAAACATCCAGCATGTACAAATTCTGAACAGAACAAGTGCTCTGTTGGGCTATCCACATCTGAAGAAGCAACTGGATGAGAGGTGACTGAATAGATGCCCTCAAAAGCATTGCAACTGCCAAGTACAATTTTATGCAATGAAAATTACTTAAGAAATTCTCAGGTGCACCTCTGTCTCTGTTTACTTCACAACAAAACCTTGTCAGGCCTGTTTACCACAACCTGCAGTATGTCAGTATTCATCTCTAGTCTGCAGAAGTACTTAAAAGCACCTGCTTAATGACGTTTGCAGAGACCTCAGAAGTATCAGTAAAATGACTGACAAAGAGCAAATCTTCAGAGCACCTGGCATGTTAATTTTCTGTAGTGATCAAATTCTTCCTCTGTGTTCTGACTGTATTCTTGGACTGTGTGGGAGAGATGGAAATAAGACTCTTCCATTACACTTTCATTAGTAAACACAGTACATTTTGGCCCTAATTTGTTGACATGGCTCCTTCACTGTCTGTGTTTTTAAGACCCTGTGCTGAAGAGGAGAAAGGAGAGGGCTTTATAAAAAATCTACAGGAACTTTCGAATTCATGAACTTCTCATGCTCTTTTCTCTTTGATGTTAGAGAAAAGGAACTCCACGGAGGTAAAATTTTAGAGCATGCACTGTACCATGTTGTTGGGCAGCCTTTTTATTTATTCACTGCATATTGTATTTGCATCCTTCTCATTACTGGTTGATTCAGTGACAGTTAGAAATTTGTGAGGAGGGATTTCTGTCACTGTGTGCCTTGTCCCCCTGGTCCAGGCTCAACACTGGCCAAGTAGTTTTGACAGTACTCCCCAGACTTCGCAAATTCTGGAAGGAAGCATGTAACTCATAGTGTAGGTAAAAGCCTGGTTAGTTTAAGCAGGTGTTTCCCATGAAGTTGGTTGTTAACTTTTTTGATGCTTCTGTAAATATTTGTAGTATAAGATTTTTAAAATCAGTCCTTTGAAGGACATCAGACAGAAGACCCATTAATTTGGGTCCTTCAGTGAGTTCAGTACACCCCAGAGAGAAAACAGGTAGGGGGTTCCTCAATGGGCTGGTCCAGTAGATGATGCCAGGTGCCTGCTTGGAGTGCCAGTGTTTCCCTTCATTGATTTGAACCCTGTAATCCCCCACTGTTACATCTGAAAGAGTAGCTAAAAAGAACTCCACTTGGGCATTTCTAGCCCTGCCTGCTAGATATGATACTGAGGGTTTGATTAACATTTATGGAAAATATTGGCTTGTCTGGACAATCAAACAAGTCAATAACTTCAGTGAAATTTTCAGAACCAGTTTTCTTTTCTTGAGATGAGCCTTGGATTGGAAAGTGGAAAAGCAGCAGATTCTGTTAAAATAACAGAAAAAAATGAGGATTAGTTAGATGCTGGAATTTCACCTTGCACACAAGGACACAACTTAACTATGCTGTATCTTACCTCAGAGGGCATTCTGGATGGTGCATGAGTCATGTCATCCATGCCTATGACTCACAGTTGTTTTCTTTATAATGCCTCTTTTAGTATGATTGCAAAGCCAGTAAAACAGCAAACTGAAGAACTTACATGTTTTGTTAGTTGAATGATACTTCTCCAAAGACCACTTACATGACATTTGAAACATTTATGGAGGTTGGTTGGTGTTTATTTGCAATTGTGCTATTGTCTTTACGATATAGATGAGAAAAATTAGATATAGAATCATTTAGCTTAGAAAAGATCTTCAAGATCATAAACTGCTCTGCTTGTGTAAGATAAGATTTAATACTTTTTAGTAATTCACTAGTTGCTTGCTTGAAGCTTTTTTGTGATTCTGCTTTTCCAGGAATATAAAATTTTCAAGCAGTTTAAATTTCATTTGGCTGAAATTTACCCACTGGAGGTGTTACACAGGTGCTTTTTCATGGAACTATAATTAGCCTGGCTTCTTGCACTACAGGGAGAATCTGCTATAAAGAAAGAAAAAGACTGCTGATGTCACCTGCTCTTTATCTGCATTTTCATGTGTTTGAAAGTACTCCAAAGTCCACATCAAATGAACTTCCTCAGGGACTTGTCCAGAAAGGTTTCTATGATGATGAGTTGAATTTGCCTGCAAATCTGGCCTGGATGTTCTTATATTTTGCTATGGTATCAGAATTAGGGACTCAATTGCTCCAGACACCCTCAGGCATCAATTTAATGAGCAGAGGAAAGAGGGTTTTGAAGTTATGTTCAAATCAACCAGTGCGGAGTATGCTTTAGTTCACAGACTCTTTGAGCTAGGGATGAGGCTGTTCTACCCCCCTTTATGTTTTATTCATAGAGAGCTAATAGGATCTTGATGGAATTATGCAGTCTTCTGCTTCTTTTCATACATAGCTGCATTATGCTTCTTATATAACCAAATTTTTAAAGCTAGAATTATGGGATGAACTGGGAATGTTGGAAACTTCAAGTTTGCTTCAAGAAAATTCAAGATGCCTGCAGGAACCTTGTTAGCATTAATTTCCCAGAGATAATGTCAGTTATTTCAGTCACAACAAACTGGAGAGATAAGATAGTATATGAATTTCACATCTGTTTATCTTCATTTCATATTAATCTGAACTTAAAAGTCCAACACTTCCACATTTATGACAGATAAAAATATTACTTCATTGCTTTCTTTAAGGATGCTCAAATATTTCTCCAAATCATCTTTGGGTGAGTTTGCGAAACTTTTTTGGGAAAGTAAGATAGGAGGATGGTTAAGGCCCCTAAGGAATCATTCTTGCTTTCTAAAAAATTAAAGCTAACAGTCTTGAATAAATCTGTAGTTGGAGTCCCAATGTAAAGTAACACAGGGATGCTGTACCTTTAGCTTAGCTTAATTAGAACTAATTTAGCTCAATTAAAATATTTAGATGTAAGTATTTATGTCTACTCACTTTCCTTCTATGGTGTACAAACAGGAAAGGCTCTGGCTGAATTACTGCCTCAGGACACATCCGTGTTGTCCTGCAATGATTTACTGTGCCCAATTAACCAAACTGAGAAACACATTGTGTTTTGTTGTTTGGCTCCAGTGAAGATTGCACCAGTTAGCATTAGAAAGGCAGCCCTGGCTATTTAGGCTGGACCAGAGACGTTGAGGAACATGAATGTGAGATCTGAGGGCCCATTTACCTCTCATGTGTGCTTCCTGGAGAGAAATCTGATTTTAACTCTTGCACTCAATCTGATAAAGTAAAGAAGCATCAGATGTTCAAGATTGTCACCAGCATGTTTCTTGTAAACATTTGTGATCCAATCTGATCATTAACTCTTAGAATCTGTCATTAAAAAGCCTCTGACTAAAACAGTCCTCAGTGAGCAAAGATCCCAGGCAAGATTACAAAAGTATCAGGTATGTGTTAAGTAAAATTTAAGTCATGACAGACTATGATCACATGTTTACAAGAGAAGTGTGAGTGGCCTGGGTCATTATGCAATAGCAGACATGGGCGTCCTGAAAGCTGCAAAGCTCCTTCAGTTGCAAGATCTGATATACGAATTGTTTGAAGACACAGATCTGTAAGCTGTGAAGCATCCAAATCTGAAGGAGGATAAAAATAAATACAAATATTTTATTGTTTCCTTTCCTACTACAGATTAATTTAAATGAATGCACTTCGATTGTGAATGCTTTGGGCAATTAGACCACTTGGATCATTTTCTGAATACAGATTTAAATGCTAATATTATATTCAAGAGTTGAAATTTTGCCTATAATTCTTGAAAGAGGATCACTGTGATTTCAAATGAACAAAAAATGAAAATAAAACATTGTATTGGCAAAGAACATTTTTCTGAAAAGGAGCAGAATAAATTATTTCCTTACCTGTTT